CAGACCCGAACACGATCCTGGTCAGGCGCCAGATGCGGTTGCGCGCCCAGAAGCGGCCCATGCTGTAATATCCCCTGCGGGCAGCTTGCAGGCGTCGCCGAAGCTCAGCCTGCGCGCTCCCCGTGATAGAGGTCTGGATGCCCAGCGCGATGTTGTCGTACTGCACGGCCCCCGCGATGTTCTCGGCACCGCTGAAGAGCTTCCTCGTCTCGTGCTGGGCGCCACAGCCCACGAAACAAGGCGATACCGAGCTCTTGGACGGGTTGTGCGCGTAGCCGTAGGGCCCCAGCGCACGTCGAAGCTCGCAGTGCGAGTGTCTGGAGACAAAGCCCGCATTCCTGGCAGAGGTGACAGCGCTAGCGCGGCTGGTGTCGCCCGCGTAGATCCGCGCCCCGAGCGGGGCGGCAACCTCCAGGAGCGGGCACCACGCTGTACAGATCATCTCGCTCGGCCAAATCGTGGTGTCGATGTCGGCTCGGGGCGTCGGAGGTAGAAGTGGTTGACTCTTCCACTCGCGGTAGGAGGTCGGTTGGTCAGGCATTTCGCACGTAGCCCAGGCCGCTCCTCGAAGTCGCTGGAGCCAGTCAGTAATAGGTACACGGAAGGTCCTGTCGAAGAGGAGCGCGCGGGGGTGTCGCCCATGAAGGCTCCGCATCGGTTGCGCATGTCCTGGTCGCCATCGCCCCCCCCCCGCGCAGAAGGTGGTGAGCTCGTGGCGCTGGTGGAAATGCTCCTGCTCCTCTGGGCGCACGGCCGCCGTGACCGTCTGGCGCAGGGCGGGAAGGGTGGAGGACCCGAAGGCGTTGCTCATGTCCTCCTTGGTGGTGAGGGTGGAGATGCCAAGACGACGCAGTCGCCCGAGCAGCCCCTCCTGGCAGAGAAGTGCGCCCTCACGGTTACGTCCTCGCTGGTACCCGTGTTCTCTAGGCGGGGGGGCATCGCGCGCAGCGCGCTGGAGCTGCGCCTTGAACCGTGAAGTGCCGACTCGGCACAGGCCGTGTATGTAGCGCTTCGCGTGAAAGCCAGTCTTCCCGCTGTGCTCGTCGAGGCCTGTGGTGAAAGAGTGGTGCCAGATCAGAGGAACGCGTTGCACGCGTCTGATGTGGGCCAGGATGTCCTTGAACGCTCGCTCGGTGATGGGCGCGTCGATCTCGTCAGCGTCGTGCCCGAGCCCACGTCGATCGCCTGCAAGCCGATGTCGAGGCTGAGGCGTGGCTCGGGGCGGCTCGTCCTCCCCTTCATCCCCAGGACGTCAAGGCCGCCGTCTGCGTCGGCCATCGTATCGACGCCACGGTTCCAGGGCGAGCCGTAGAACTTCGGTCGGCACACTGTGAGGCGGAGCAGCTCGGCGACGGGGAGACCTCGAGATCACCTCGATCAGCTTCTCGAAGTCCCCCCGCGCTGTCTCGAGGTGGTCGTGCGCGAACGTCGGTGCCCTCGGCAGCGCCTCCAGGTAGGTCTGACGGTACTCCTCAAAGTTGATCGGGACCGCGTCGAACCTGCCGCTGGCGCCGTCCTGCTGGAAGTGCTGCACGATCTCAGCGCGCCGAGGGAGGAAGCAGGCTCCAACGTTGTAGCGTCGTCGCCTCGGCCCCTTTGCACTGAGCCGCAAGCTGATGTCCCAGTCGCCACACCTCTGCGAAATGCCTTTTCTGCCAGGCCTCATACATATCGTCAACGATCATCTGCACCTCGGTCTCGAGCCAGGCCTTGCGATGATGCCGTAGTCGGCGGGAGGCTCTAGCCAGCTCCATCTCCACGGTGCTGGGGTCGCCATGCTCTCGCAGGTCGCGTCGTTCAGCCAGTAGGCGGAGACGCTCGCCCCTAAGTGCTTGCACTCGTGGGGGGACGGGGGCACGTCCAGCGAAGTGACGCTCGGCAACAGTCGACACTTGCGTCATCCAGCGCTCCCAGGCCTCGTCAGGAGCCTTGGCGTCGTACAGCTCGTGGAAGTAGTCGGGGTGGTTGCTGAAGGCCTCCTCCAGATCACGCGCGAAGGCCGCCACGCCCGTGCCGTGCTGCAGTGCCTGCCCCAGACGATGGAAGTCCCACGTCTTCCTCGGCCGTGCCTGAGGGGCCTGCAGTGTGTAGACGACCTTCATCAGAATGGGAACGTGGTCCTGTAGCCCAGGTCGCGGTATGAGCTTGAGCCGTCTGTTGGCACTCTTCAGCGGCATCACCGTCGTCACCGAAGGCTTCTGCCACGCGAAAACAGCAACGTGGTCGATAAGGGAAGCCGACTTCGCCCCGTGGTACGTGGGGCCCACCTCGAAGTCGCTGGTGACGACGCGGAGCGCGAAGCGCTCCATCAGTTCTAGCATCTTCTCCGAGGCGTAGTGCTGAACCTGATGTCCGTGCGGGTCCAGCGCATCCGAGGTGACCGTCCGGTATGCTTGATGGCCCTGATATCGTAGCCCCAGTCCGCCGTTGAGGTCGAATCCGAAGAAGAGGGCCGAGCGCCCGCGCGCCCATGTCAATACTTTCTCTACCCACTCCACCATGGCGTCGACCGTGGCCCTGTACGCATAGTGCTGCTTATTCACCGTCGTGGTCTCTGTCGCCTGCCTCCGACTCGTCGGCCGCGGTGGGAAAGAGGCCATGGGCACAAGGATGTCGAACCTGCCGCTTCTGAGCCTGGTCAGGGATACACGCCCGCGCAGCTTTGGCGGCACGGAGGGAGTGTCCACCAAGTGCTGCGTCCGAAAAGTCCGACGCCTCAGTAGGATGGTGCACCCGCAGCTCTTGTTGGTATGGGGGCTGGGACTCCAGCCTGATCTCAAAGCAGTGTGGTACGGCAGGGTCGAACGTATGGTGTCCACTTCGCCACGCCTCTCACCCGTGCCTGTCAAACATACCACATCAACGTAGCGGAACTCAGCAGATATATCACAAAGTCGCTCCTCGGTGCTCGCGTTCTGGGCATTCCAATGGATATACTTCATCAGATGATCAAATTCGAGCGCCGCCGAGAACGCCCAGAGAGCCCATCGCCAGCGCGACAGCCGCATCGCCGCGGGCCGCCGCCTCACCGTGGGGAGGACACGCCATGCGGGCGCGAGGTATGAATGCGCATCCTTCGGCGCCTGCCGCCCCAGAATCGCCAGCCTCGGGCCGGGGGGGCTGAAGAGGAGGAGGAGGAGGAGGAGGAGGAGGAGGAGGAGGAGGAGGAGGAGGAGGGGGAGATCGCCCTCCACCGAGGGCAGAGACCGCCGCTGCCGCCCGACCGTGCACCGGCGCAGCCGAGGAGCGCGACGCCACACTCAAGGGCTTCTGTTGGCCCTCGGCCTGTGGGCGGCACGCCCATGGCCCTCCCAACACGGAACCTCTCGCGCTCGGCAGCCCCTGGCCATCGCTCGGACGTCCATGTCCTATGCTTTTGTTCGGTCTCGTGCGTGGCTTTTTCGCAGGATGATTCAGGATGCTCCTTAATCATCCCCGCCGAGAAGAAAAAGCGCACATGTCCGAGCGATACCAAGGCCCACTCATTCGGAGGAGGGGAGCATGAGTCAGCGGAGGGCCGTTTGAGACACTGGTAGTTGGCCCTCGGGGGGCCCTTCGTCGCCACGGCTGGGCGGAGCTCGGCAAGCTTGCGCGTGTCGGCCCGGGCAGGGGTCTTGGGACCGATGTTGCGCCGATCTCGACTCGCCCTTCTCCGAACGAGGGAGGAAGAATGGGGAGAAAAGGTACCCGATCGCCCCAGCCTCGCCGACGCGGTACAAGGGAGGGCGCCAGTTCTGGCGTGCATTGACCCGTGACGCTTATGGGCGTCGCGGAGTATCACGCGGGATACCGTGCAAGGACGCGCGCTCGCCAGCCAGCCCGACAGACTGTCGGGCTTGTTGGCGGACGGCGAGGAGTAGGGGGAGGAGGACGAGAGAGCAAGCTACGCGAGGAGGGGATGAGCAAGCCAATCAAGAGTCTGTGAGGTGCGAGTGCCACTGATGGTGCCTCACTCGGGCGCGAGTGCATGTGATGGCTCCTCTGTGCCCAGTCCCGCTCACAGGGTCTTCGCATTCTCCGTCTTGTGGTCGGATGGGGAAGGGTGGCGAAGGGAGGGAGTAAGGAGGAGGAGAAGGAGGGATCTTCGTCGTCGTCGTCGTAACAGCCGCCGTCGTCACCGCTATCGTCGTCACCGCCATCATTGTCGACCATCGTCGTTTTGAGGATCCTTCCCCACCCCAGCCCTTCCCTTCTCCCCCGCTCGCTCAGGCCCTGTCGCCTCCCTCGTCCCCCACCCCTCCCCCCGATCCAACCCCCTCCCTCTGCCCGCCCCGACGGCCGCCCCGCCTCGCATTCCACCGCCCCCCCCTCTTCCACGCCACCCTTGCCTCCCCCCCCCTCCTGCCCCCACCCCTTCGCTAATCTCCGGCGCCTTCCACTCGCCGCCCCCACTGGTACAGCTGATCCCGGGACCTCTCCCGGGGTGCGCTCTGACCAAAATCTCGACGAGTCCGGGCGTGGCGACGAGGGCTCTCTGGGACGAGCAGCCGTGCCGCTCAGAATGAGGGGGCCAAACGGTCATTCACTGTCCCTGGGCGTACGGCTGAAGTGGGGTTCCGCCGTGCGGATGGTGGTTGCGTTGTCGACATCGTCGTCCTCGCCCGCGACCCGCCCCGCGACCCGCCGTGACGCTTCCGCGACCCACCCCGCGACCCACCCCGCGACCCTTCCCGCGACCCACCCACCGACCCACCCGCGACCCACCCCGCGACCCACCCACCCCGCCACTCTCAAGCGCAACTGCGGGGTGCTACGTACCTGTGGAAACCAAGAGGTACTGATACCGCTACTTCCCGGGCCTCTCCCGGGGCACGTTCTGACTAGGATTTCGAGGCGAATGCAGCGGTGGCGACGAGTGCCTCCCAGGAGGCCCAAGAAGGGGATAACGGGCGGAGAGCAGAGGTATGGGTACCCTTTCCTCCTCTGAGTACCAGCTTCGGCCCCACACCAGCTGCACCCCTCCCACCCCTCCACACGAGCTCGGCCCCTCCGCCCGGCGCCTGCCGGAACTCCTCCACCACCGCGGCGCCGCTCGCCCGGTCGCGGGTCCGCAGGCAGCCGATGCCCCAGAGGATCTGCGGCATGCCACAGGCGCCAGGCTGGGGGGGGGTCTCGGCCCGCGGGGCGACCATCCTCGAGCCGTGCGCGAAGGGGCGGAGATGATGCGACGCGCGGCTGCGCGAGGCACGCTCGCGATCGGGACACTGGCCCGGCGGGTGGCGCGCAGGACCTCGCGAGGATCCACCACCTGCTCCAGACCCCCGATGCCATGATTCTTTCACGACGTCGACCCCCCGAGGTCTGGACCCACTCCCCGGGACCGGCTTCTCATCCTGATGCGTCTTTGACGGTCCAGAGGCCCCGTGAGGGCCCCCAGAGGCCGAAAACAGAGAAAACCTCCCGTCGTTTTTTCTTTGTTTTGGACAACGCCAGTGGGTCTGGGAAGCCACCACCAGTCTGGGACATGGCGCCTTGCACTCCCTCCGAGTGCCCTCCTTGTTTTGGACAGCGCCAGTGGGTCTGGGAAGCCCTCCACCCGTCCCAGAGTTCCCCAGGGTGAGCAAGAGGTCTGGGGCCCTCCGCCCCGCGGTCGGGGTGGCGAGGGAGGCGTCGACGCGCGGGGGGTTGGCGGCGGCGTCGACGCGCGGGGAGGAGGGGGCAGCGCAGCCCGAGGAAGAGGAGGCGGAGACGTCGGCGCTCGTCGTCGTGCTCCTCCTGTCGCCGCTCCCGTTCCCCCCCCGAAAATCCTCCTTCCCGCCGTGCTCCTCATTCTACTCCTCCTGCTTTGTTCCGTCGTTGTCCTCGTCCTGGAGGAAGTTCTAGGAGGAGGAGGAGGAGGAGGAGGAGGAGGAGGAGGAGAAGGGAAATGAGGAGGGCGAGGAGGATGAGAAAGAGGAGGAGGAGGAGGAGGGGGGAGGAGGAGGAGACGGAGGAGGAGAAGGAGGAGGAGGGGGGAGGAGGAGGAGGAGGAGGAGGGGGAGGAGGAGGAGGAGGAGGAGGAGGAGGAGGAGAGTGGGCGGGGGGCAGGAGGCGGGAGGGAGGAGGTTCGAGGAAAGAGGGGGGAGACGGGAAGGGGATGAAGCCGAAAGGAGTCCTGTGGAGTCCAATGGGGCCCTGTGGAGTCCTATACAGCCAAATGCATTATGGTGGAGTCCGATTGGGTCCTATGGGTATCCGGATGGAGTCATATGGGGTCCTAGGGTTATTCGAATAGAGTGCTATAGAGACCAAGGGAGCGCAAACTTTCGGCATTATCTTAGTGTGATCCCAGGCTGGAAGAACTACACTGGTGGCTGCGCTTTGTGTGACCAGGTTCTGTACGTGAGGCAATTTCGTGAAACGTCGTGTCTGGTAGCTTCCAGATGTTTTACGTATGCTGGGCGATTGGATGTCTTATTCGGGAGCATGTGTGTTGTACATGTCTGTTAATGCACGTGGCTTCCACTACTTAAGTAACCAATCAATTGATTAATTAGGTATGTAATCTGCTGTTGCATGGTCTGCTCTTCTGACATGTCTGGGATGCCAAACTTAATGTGACGGTGCCAGACTTCTGCGCAGTTAGTCGTTCCTCGCAAGCCTTGGGTTGGTGGGAGTAGGCCGAAAAAGCCAGCACTCTTGCTCATCTCGTGAGTTCGAAGGCGGCGTTACGGGTACACTCACGCACTGCACTGCGCCTCGTGCGAACGCATGCTCTTCATTCATGCGTGCGCATGTTGTCATGCATGGGATGTCTGCCAATTCGTCGTGTCGTTCACTTGGGTGTGTCATCAGTCCTGCAGGCATGTACCGGGGACGCGAGGCAAGACATCAGGGACTGTCGGGCGTGCTGGGGCTCGGCGGCCGCGGTATGCGGGATCGGTTCCGTCGTTATTTGACGCAGACGCAAGACGGGACACTAGAGACCATGGGGACTACTGGGGCCCTGCCGCAGTAGTATGCAGGGATGGGTGGCGGGTTGGGTCGGGCCCCGTACCTGTCGAGTCAGAAAAGGCCTCGAGCCCCGAGCCTCCTCGAAGCCCGAGCCTCCCTCTGCGGACGCTGTCTCCCCGAGATGAGAAGCGCAGCAGCCCCGCACCAGAAGGGCGAACCACAAAGACGCAGAGGGCGCTACATGCGGCGACGCGGGGATGCCGCACATGCTCGCAACGACAGAGGGCGCACGATGCACCCCACCCTACAGACAGACCACACCCGCCCCAGCGGAACACAAAAACACTAGAAGGACGGGGCTAGGACGAGGATAAATCCGTCCAGGACGTTCCCGATCGTTCTCAGAGCGTTCTGGAGCGCTCTGAGAAGGGCGCGGCGCCCGAGACATCCTCCAGAGCCGCGGGATCTCAGAGCTTCTCGGTCTGGGTCTCACCTGAATTTTTGTCCTCGTCCTGGCTTCGTCTGAACTGCTCTGTAGCGACCTGCGGGGGCGGGGGCCACACCCTGCAACCCAGACGCGAGCCCGCCGACATGGGTGGCGTCGTCCGTCGCCATCGTCGTCCGCCG